AGCATCACCTAATTCAACAAGCTCGAGATTGCTGTTGCCATTTTTGTCTAGGTAGTTTACGACACTGTACCGAACCAACCCTATTAACATTGAAGTACCCTGGCTATATTTAGAGAATACTTCTCGAATTTCATTCAGCGTTACCCTCCCGTCACCGTCGATATCCCACGGGCGTATAAAAGTTGAAAATCTATCTAAAACCACCTTGGTTGGTTTGTTGGGAAATCTGCGAGTATAATCGTCCATGGTAATCGCGCCGTTTGCATCGTCGTCCAGTAACCAGAATATAGCGGCAAGTAATTTGTCATGGGTTTTTGGGTTTTTAACGCGCATGATCATTTTAATAAACTCGATTCTATCTATACGGTCATCTCTGTTGAGATCTATGCCCGCAATGGTGTCAACCATAAACTTCTGGACAAAATACTGGCCAAATAGCATACGAGCGTACTGTTCAACTTCTATAGTGGTTATGTTAGTATCTTGGTCCAAATCGAGCCTGGTCAGAACATGTTGAGTGATGTAACCATTAAGATCAATTGTATCCCAAACTAGCTGGATGACTGCCGCGACAATTACTTTATCGGGAATGATTGTGTTGGATTTAATTAATGCTGGGTGATAATGTGCCACGATTGATTTTAAATTACCACCAATCTTGTTTACACGTTGGCCAGAGTCACGTACTAACCTCATCCAATTTGAGGGCGCAGGTATAATTGAAAGTACTAACTTTTTAAGGGCATCTTGATTAGTTAGAAAGTCCATAAGTTGTTGAAGTGACCCGGATGAGTTGTTACTACTCGGTACATTTTTTGTTGACATCCACTTTACATACTCGTGGCTATTGAGTCGCCGGTCGCCGTCCGTGTCGGCCAACGCTAACATTGTCCTAATGTCCCAATCGGTGGCCGACTCTATGGCCTGCCTTACGACTCGACCAAACTCTTGCGAGTCGAGCATTTGGTCGCCGTTTTGATCATGCAGTTTGAATAAACCCTCATGGTCTGTAAATAGTCATGGTTAATAATGTTTTATTATGATTATTGCAATAATCAATTTAAGTAAAGTATTAATGATTTAATTAAATATATACAATAATAAAAAAGTAAATTGCGTAAACTATGAATCCGTTTACCTGTACAAAATGTTTGATTACAAAGTAAAATGAAGGTGATAAAATATTGTATGCTGGACATTTTAAATTAAATAAACTAATATTGTACAATGAAATACAAAATAATTAACTATTAAATTACAATAATGAAATATAGCATTGATTTCATTTTATTAATATAATTATACGCAGATATTGTATGCTGGACATTTTAAATTAAATAAACTAATATTGTACAATGAAATACAAAATAATTAACTATTAAATTACAATAATGAAATATAGCATTGATTTCATTTTATTAATATAATTATACGCAGCATTGAATTTTCTTACATTAATTTTGCCAACATGGATTTTGTTATTATTATTATTAATTAATTTTATTATTAAAATAGAAATCAATTCAAACTTATATTAATAAAACAGATATTTGTAAATAGAATTACAGTTTTATTTAAAATATTATAAACTATAATTACATTAAACACATAAAGTATTTCAAAAATAGTTTTCATATTTAAATTGCAATTTAAATGAAGAACTAAAATGGGTATTATTATTAGTAAATCATGTAGACTCTAAAATATTAAAATATATTCAACACTCTCTATTACACTTATAATCTATCAGAATTAAAAGCTATATTTTGAATAGTGGATAAAATTTTATTAATAATTATTTATTTACAAATTAATTTATGGTTAACTTTATATTTATTTAATTTTTATTAATATAACGTTTAATTTTAAAAAATTAGTTAATTTTGGTTAAAGATTAAATTTTTTACTTATGTTATTTAGTTATATCTAGTATTTTAAAGTTTATAAGCATTTGTATTTTTGTTGTTATAAATTTTATCTTATCAAAATGTAATTAAAAATTCAGCAAATAAAATTTTATTTTATTATTGTAAAATTTAATTTAAATTAAATTGTTAATTTTTATTGCTCTAGATGTCTCATAAGTTACTTGTTTAACACAGTACAAGGTATTTGTGCAATAGCAATTAACAATACAATAATATTTTTAAATTTTTTATATAAACTGTAATTAAACCATAATTATAACAACTATTTTATTAAATCAATTTTACATATTAAATTGGGGATACGATTAAATTGGGTATATCTAAATATAATTTTTAAAATAAAATGATCACAATGATTATTTTAAATTAGCATACAACTTTAGAATAAACTATAATTTATAGTATACAATTCAATACAGAATTTTACAAAATAAAACTTGCACACTAAATATAAAGTTTGATTATAAATTTACAGTTCCGTACGAAAACCACCATCATTGAGATAGGTATTTGAAATACCCAAAAGCAGATTATTCAATCAATACAGAATTTTACAAAATAAAACTTGCACACTAAATATAAAGTTTGATTATAAATTTACAGTTCCGTACGAAAACCACCATCATTGAGATAGGTATTTGAAATACCCAAAAGCAGATTATTCAATAATGACATAGTACTTATAAATTCTGTAAATATTGAAAATTAAAAATTAATAACTTAAAAATAATAGTTTAAAATGTCCAGGGTACAGATAACGGCAAAACTTACCATCAAGGTTCAAATATTCATCCCCGTCTGTATCGGCTCCCTTAATAGCTGTCTCAATTAAATTAATGTAATATGCGGGAACATATTGACTGATCATTTGTAATGATAGATTAATCTTCTGCAAACTGACCCGACCATCATCGTCTATATCGAATTGGTCAAACATGATCGACATTGTTTCACCTGGATCAAGATCGCGGCCAACAAATGCACTCATAAAGGCTGCCATTGATTCAGTAAAAGTAATAACACCATCACCATCTTGGTCCATTGTGTTAGTGAGCCTATTGATAAAGTGTCCAAGTTGGCGCAGAACATCGCTTAATTCAGAGAGGTTAATATTGGTGTCGCCATTTTTGTCTAAATAGTTTACAACACTGTACCGTGCCAGCCCTCTTAACAATAAAGTACCCTGGCTATATTGAGCGTATAGTTTACGGATTTCATCCAGCGTTACCCTCCCGTCACCGTCGATATCCCACGGCCGTATGAACGCTGAAAATTTATCTAAAACCACCTTGGTTGGTTTGTTTGGGAATCGGCGAGTATAATCGTCCATGGTAATCGCGCCGTTTGCATCGTCGTCCAGTAACCAAAATATAGCGGCTAGTAACTTGTCATGTGCCTTTGAGTTTTGAGCGCGCATGATCATTTTAATAAACTCGGTTTTATCTATACTGCCATCACTGTTAACATCTAGTGCCGCAATCGTGTTAACTAGAAACTTTTGGACAAAATACTGGCCAAATAGCGTTCGAGCGTACTGTTCAACTTCTATAGTGGTTATGTTAGTATCTTGGTCCGAATCGAGCTTGCTCACAACGAGTTGAGTAATGTTACCACTATGATCAATTGTATCCCAAACTAGTTGGATAATTGCCGCGATGATTATATTATCAGGCACAGTTGTGCTGGGTTGAATTAAAGCTGGGTGATAACGTGCCACGATTGACTTTAAATCGCCACCAATCTTGTTTAAACGTAGGCCAAAATCGTGCGCTACCTTCATCCATTCAGATGGAGGAGGTACAATTGAAAAGAACAACCTTCTAAGGGCATCTTGATCATTTATAAAGTCCATAAGCTCTTGAAGTGACCCGGATAAATTGTTACTACTCGGATCTCTCTTTGTTGACATCCACTTTACATACTCCTTGCTATTGAGTCGCCGGTCGCCGTCGGTATCGGCCAACCCTATCATTGTCCTAATGTCCCAATCGGTGGCCGAGTCTATGGCCAGTCGTACGGCTTGACTAAACTCATCCGAGTCAAGCATTTGGTCGCCATTTTTGTCGTACAGTTTGAATAAACCCTTATGGTCTGTAAACAGTCATAGTTAAAAATGTTTTGCTATTATTATTGTTATATTAAATTTAAGTAAGCTATTAATGATTTAATAAAATTAATACAATAATAAACAAGTAAATTGCGTAAATTATGAATCCATTTACCTGTACAAAATGCTTGATTGCAAAGTAAAATCAAAGTGATAAAGTATTGTATGCTGGACATTTTTAATATTGTACAATAAACTAATATTATACAAAGAAATACGAAACAAATAACTATTAAATTACAATAATAAGATCTAGCTTTTATTTCATTTTATTAATATTTTATGCACAGCATTGAATTTTTTTACATTAATTTTGCCAACATGGATTTTATTTAATTAATATAATTATTAATAAAGAAATCATTTATTTATAAAATTTCAATTAAACATATTTTTGTTTTTGTAAAAAAATACACGATTCTGCTTAAAAAATCACATTTTTAATTAGTTTTAAAATTATTATTTAAGAGCAAAATTACAATTAATTACGAGTGTGTAAATATCGTTTATAAAAAAAGTATTCAAATGTAATAGAAAATTTTTTAAATTGCATTAATTGAATTAATTCAATTTACATTTAAAGTTCCGTACGTTGATGCCCTTGGTATGAATCGCCCATCATTAGTTTATTAAATGATAACATGGCTTTAATAAATTCTAGATTAGAAAAACAAAAAAAACAATTTATTATGTTTATTTATTTATACTTTGATATTGTAGTAAAATATGTAATATAATTATTTTTAAATACCATCATGATCCAAGTAGCCATCACCATTATTATCCGACAATCTAAGTATCGCATCAAACCATTGAATAGCATCACGATGTTTATGTTTTGCAAAAAATTTGTCTAGCTCAATATGACTGATTTGACCATCCTTATTTTTATCAAACATTGAAAATATATAAAGCACTACATCCTTGGGGGAAATATCAGCATGCATTAATACATTATGCAAAGCTGTTAGTACATCAATTAAGTCAGCCTGGCCATCACCATCGGGGTCAACCTTATTAGCAAATTGCACTAAATAATTGCCTACAACTCGCAAAGCCTTGACTAGTTCATCAAGATCGATCAAGGAATTTCTATTTGTATCAAGAGCTTTTGTGATTGAATTGCACATGGTAGGCCATGCGTAATGTATAGCATCGGGCATAATTTTAATAAACATCGTATACAACATCATGTAATCTTCATGAGTTACTTTTCCGTCTCCATTCATATCCATCTGTTTAAAACGCTGCACATTATAATTATAGAATGACCAAGTGTCTTGGTTAATTTTAGCAATAGAGGCCAAGTCGAGTTTGGTGATAACGCCGTCACCATCGTAATCGGCTAGTTGAAACATATCGCTCAAAAATTGTTTCATGCTCCAATTGGTCACATAGTCATTTGCCACTTCTATAAACTCGGTGATATCAATGATGCCGTCACCGTCATCGTCCATATCATCTATAGTGTCGGCCAAATGCTCGTCCACTATATAGTGGCCAATCCAATACCTCATCGATTGTTCAAACTCATCGCTGGTTACCCTATCATTATCGTTCTGGTCGAACATCACGTTATAAGCAATTTCTATCATATCCGGATCATTGGAAAAAATATCTGAAACGATCATGGTTACACTCGCAGTGAATTCATCCCAGTCATTGTGGCCTAAAGTGACCAACTTATCCCAGTAATTGGCAATTGTTGTGTTTACACTGTCACTGTCTAACCACGCGCCTAACGCCCCGACATTGTCTACCCAACCATCTAGATCTAAATCCTGGTCTAGGTTATCGGTGCCTGCATGTTGGTATGCGGTAGGATTGCCAGCACTAAACGTATTCTCCTCGGAGTCTATACCAAACACCTGTTCGAGCCCATCAACGTTTTCCGGGTTAACATCGATCGTCTCAATCCAAGTCAACATCTCCTGCTTATATATCCTCCCGTCCCCGTCCGGGTCCACCCTATTTAATGATAGCTTATCGAGTAATGCCGGGTTGTCCAGTAAAATACCCCTGATGAATGTACTCGTCTCTATGTAATGTTCACCGTTTTCATCTACCATTGTGTAATTAAAGAGTTCATCTATTTTATGGATAAATATTCATTTGTTTACTTAATTATTGTAACATAGTTATATAAATTATTTACCATTATCAACACAATCCGTGTAATTGATTACCATAACACAATTCAATATAAATAATAATATGTACTGCATAATGATAAATTATTTTAAACTTAATTATCAAGTTTAATTAATTGGACAATTTAAATAATTTACTTTAAATATAACTCAAACACTTAAAATAAAATATTTGACCATTAAATAACAAATGTATAAAAACAAGTTAATTGTTTTATTTCATTAACGTTAAAGTCATAAATATTTATAATGTTATTGTGATAAGAATTGTTTTGACTCATTAATTGTGATAAATACCCGGACAATAATCACAGCATTTCACTTTAATTAATGTTATTTAAATTTATAACATGCTTATAGTTATTATTGTGAATTGACATTTGCCTTTCATTTAATTTAGTTTTTTTTGAAAAATATTATTTAATTTTAAAAATGTAAAATTTTAACAATATATATTATTTGTTAAAGATATTTTTCTCTTTAGTTAAGGCCATAAGTTAAATAACAATTTTAATTAATATTTTTAAAATAGATATTTATGAATACAATTACAGTTTTATAACAAATATAATTTTTAGGTTAAAACTAAAACTATAATTATATAACACATACATTGTAAAATCATTTTAAAAAATAATTATAAAATAAAACAAGGTTCATACAGCTACACAATAGCCGAACGATCCTATAAACCATATTATTCATAGCTAAATTGTGGTTAAAACTGTTTTATCTGCTAATATAATTTTTGAATTATTAATAATACAATGTTTAATTTTGATAATTATTAAATTAACTGACATTTAGTTTTAAATTATTTTTATTTATTGTAATTCAACAATATTTAAATAATATAATTGTATTACAATCATTTTGACAGTTATATTTCAATTTTGAAGCTGGTTTTTTTAATTAATTAACCCTGGACTGGTTGAATAGCGGGTTGAGCAGCAATGGGTTGCTGAGCGATAGGCTGCTGAGCGATGGGCTGTTGGGCTGCCGGTTGTTGGACAATGGGTTGTTGAGCAACGGGAAATTGCTGTACTGGGAATTGGCCCGGGAATTGTTGAACCGGGAATTGACCGGGAAATTGTTGTCCAGGGAATTGGCCTGGAAATTGACCTGGAAATTGACCTTGGAATTGTCCGGGAAACTGACCGGGGAAACCAAATTGTCCCGGGAATCCACCGCCAAAACCGGGAAACCCGCCGAAACCAAAACCACCGCCGCATCGCTCGTCCGGCACTTCAGTGGGTTTGGCGTTCATTACGGCTGTAAATGTAAAGCATTTTAATTGTTAATATTTAATGTTATAAATAATATTATTATTTGTATTATACATACCGACGGCACCGATCAATAGTATGGCAACAATTTTCATCATTTTTTGATAAGTTTATTCTGTTTTAATTATTGAATTAAATTCAGTAATTTTTTTAAGTGATCCACTATTTGATTATTGTGTGATATTTATATAAATTTAATATCCTTGTTCAATTAATGGTACATTGCATTGAGCACAGACGTCATACACGTGTGTATATATCGAGATTTAAATCCTTGTCTGGCATGAATTTATTTGATTAATTATTTTACTGAATTAATACAATTAATACTGATTGAAACAATTAATACATTTATTATAATGATGTTCATATATTGTATAGATACTAACTTATATGCAGCTTGTTAAACACGACCGAACTAAAATAAAATTAATGCATTCATTGACTTTTAATTTCAATATTGATTAATGTTGACTATATCATTAAATTACCCAAAAGTTACTTGTATATCCTGATGTTATTTTAAGCCTTTATAGATATTGTAAAATCAATATTTCTAATTAAATAGTATAATTGTAGGTACTTTTATTTAGTAAAATATTATCTTAATAATCATTTTACAATAATTAATTTTATTTGTTTTATTCAATTATAACTTTTGTAGGAAACAAATCCAAAGACATTATATAATAAATTGTTATAATATAATAAATTATTATAAATTGTATTTATAATAAATAAATAAAACTACTCTATGTGTAATTATTGTAAATTATATTTAAAAGGGTTTCTCAAAGTTCTTGTTAATAAGGATTAAGATTAAATATTAATTAAAGACATTTGAATTTCACAACGTAACAAAATAAATCTATATAATTGTATTTTATTATTAAATCTTGTATCATTTGTAGCAGGCTACAAAATGTGAAACTTTCTAGATTGGGTTATGTTAGGAATGAATTAAGTTTTATATTTACTGGTTTGGGTTGGGTTTGGCCCATGTTTTGGTTAACATTTCGGGTATTAATTTGTAGCTTAACACTGTATATACAGGACTATAAAGTAGCAAATAACAAGTTGTATTAATTTACTATTATTATAAGTAAATCGTAATTAATTATACTATGTTAAAGGAAACATCGCTTTTAAATTTATTTAATCAAATTAAACAAAACCGCTGTTTATTAATTTCATACAATCGAGTTTAAAAAATACAAATAAATTATGTGGCAATTTTATCTGAAAGGCATAATGCAAATAAAGCTTAATCATTTTACTTTAGTTGCTTAAATTTTTATTTACTAGTATAATAATTATTAAATATTTATGCAATTTAATTTTAAGATCAGATTGTTGATTAATTAACCCTGAACGGGTTGAATAGCTGGATTGGCTGGTTGAGCAGCAATTGGCTGCTGAGCAATAGGCTGTTGAGCGATGGGCTGTTGAGCTGCTGGTTGTTGGACAGCGGGTACCTGTCCGGGCAATTGTTGTGCCGGGAGTTGGCCCGGGAATTGACCGGGAAATTGTCCGGGGAATTGTCCTGGGAACTGTCCGGGAAACTGACCGGGGAAACCAAACTGTCCCGGGAATCCCCCAAAACCGGGAAAACCGCCGAAACCAAAACCACCGCCGCATCGCTCGTCCGGCACTTCAGTGGGTTTGGCGTTCATTACGGCTGAAATTACATTGAATTTTAATTAATATTATTATTTATTTATTTTTTAAATAAATAAAACATTTTGTTATAATACATACCGACGGCGCCGATCAATAGGATGGCAACAATTTTCATCATTTTGCTATTTTAGTTTAAGTCTTAATTCTTTTAATGAATTAAATTCAGGTAAAATTAAATTGATAAATTTTTTTATATGAGATGAAGTTTATATACCCTACCAAACAAAATGTATAATATGTCTTACACGTGGTAGACGTTGTAATTATTATTATTAATATCCTGGTATAATTTCTAGAAATACTTAATTTGATTTGTCAATAACATAATTACTTATTTATTTGAAAATTTTCTACCAGCATTTAATTATTAATTATATTAATAAAAATGTTTTTATTTGTAAAATGTACCTTATGCAACATAATTAGGGGTAGAACTTGCATTTTTTATATAGATTGCAACATAACGTCATACATGAAATTTTACCTTAAAAGCATTGCTAACGGATACAAACCTATTACAATTTTGATGTATATACAAAATTACACTTTAATATATACTTTTTTCCACTAAAGTCCCACTAAAGTCCTATCCATAAACATAATGTACCTTTGTGTTATTGATACATATTGTTTAAATTAACTAAAGGAACAATTTTGTAATTTCAAAATTATTACTCTATATGACGTGTGTTTTGATTAATTATAAAATGTACAAAAACATTGTTTTTCCAATAAGTTTAGATATCCACCATAATTAATTTATATAAAATCAGTATTAAGTGCTAGTATACCAATGCACACACACATTGAGTATAATGTACCAATATGAATTTTTACAATAGCAATTAATTAATATTTGTATTTTATAGTGTCTGAGATAATAATGTAATTTATATTTGTATAATAAATAATGCATGTTTAAACTATGGTTACATCTTGAGCAATATAAATGTAAAATACAAGTGTTTTATATTTGCCTAATTATGGAATGACCGGTTAAAGTTATTTTTAACAATTGAATTTTAGTTTAATTTCAATTAATGTAAACGTTTAAAATAAATGTAACATTTTTAATATATATAAACGACGTGTGTAAATTGAAAGCAATTTATAAGCTGTAATACAAATATAAAGTAGCTGTATAATGCATATACTGATTTCTTTTATAAATTACAAATAACATATCTAGCACTATTACAACAATGATTTTTTTGGCCATTTAAAACTGTAATTGTATATTATTAACTAGGTTGGTATACACATCACTTTTGTGAATTATTAGAATTTGGAAATGGGGCGCGCTGTCCATTCATTTAAAATTTGCTTTGTCATTTAAATAATTAAATTATTTTCTAAAATACAATTACGTAAATAAATTTAATTTTAACAATAATAAATATAGCGTATAACATTTGCTACTAAATCATTTTATTTAGTCAGGTGTGTAAATTAATATAAAATAAAAATTATTTTACTTGATTTTGGAACGCGTAGATGTAATTCACCATTAATTATAAACGTCAATTAAACAAGGAACTGATCATGATTTAAATCCTGATTCTTAAACCACGCATATTCACTTCGAATTAAGCCTACATTATGTAATAGGATATATTTTAGTATAAATACGCTGATTATGGCAATAGTCAAGCATCAATACACTTATCTAGTGCAAATTATCAATTAGTTTTGGAAAAACTTTAAAATTAAATAAGCAACATGTTTAAAATTATAACAGCTCTATTTCTAACTCTGGGTAAGTTTATAAACATACTGTTAGCAAAATTATATAGTTATAATATGAAATCTAATTAATCTAGCTATTGGTGCCAAATGTGCCACTCTGCCCGACACCGATCAAACTAAACCCGACGAGAGATGTTTTGGCGGTTTTGGGGGTGGATTTCCCGGTGGTTTCGGAGGTTTGGGTGGTTTTGGGGGCGGATTCCCGGGATTTTTTGGCAAACGTGATGTGGAGACTAAAGCCAAAGAAGTGGTGGCGGAGTCCGAAGAGCCGTGCGATAAACAAGTGGCCGAACCCGAGGGTGAGATCACAGAAGATGTCAAACCGGAGGAGAAGTGTTTTGGAGGTTTTGGTGGATTTCCCGGTGGTTTTGGCGGCGGTTTAGGAGGTTTTGGGGGCGGATTCCCGGGATTTTTTGGCAAACGGGACGTCGAGACTGAGATTAAAGAGGTAGTGGCGGAACCCGAAGTAGAGATGGCCGCAGAAG